TCAGATTCATTCATTGTTTACTATCGCCTGAATCATGAGACATTCTTTATATTTCAAAAGCCTAGCTCTGATTCATTCATTGTTTACTATCGCCTGAATCATGAGACATTCTTTATATTTCAAAAGCCTAACTCTGATTCATTCACTGTTTACTATCGCCTGAATCATGAGACATTCTTTATATTTCAAAAGCCTAGCTCTGATTCATTCACTGTTTACTATCGCCTGAATCATGAGACATTCTTTATATTTCAAAAGCCTAGCTCTGATTCATTCATTGTTTACTATCGCCTGAATCATGAGACATTCTTTATATTTCAAAAGCCTAGCTCTGATTCATTCACTGTTTACTATCGCCTGAATCATGAGACATTCTTTATATTTCAAAAGCCTAGCTCTAATTCATTCACTGTTTTCTATCGCCTGAATCATGAGACATTCTCTATATTTCAAAAGCCTAGCTCTGATTCATTCATTGTTTACTATCGCCTGAATCATGAGACTTCTCCTATTACAAAACTATTTCAAAAGTCTAGCTTTGTTTCATCCATGTATTTTTATTCAACTGTTTGCCAAGAAATTAAAAAAAAAAATACCTTTTAAAAAACCTGAACGCTATTATAAAAATAAAAGTCGTCCTGTACCAAACATGATTTATCTGAAAAATTCTCACTCAATAAATTGCCAGTCAAAGTTCCAACGTCTCTTCCCAGTCAATTCTTGATTACGCTGAGAGGAACGTCAGGCGAGGAGACACGTTTCCAGAGCTATCTGTTGATTACTATGGTGTGAATTCAGCGGCTAGATCAAAATAGTAATTTGAATTAGTCGTATTTTCTTGATCGGGAGAACATTATAACCTTCTGTTAATATGATCGAGACCACTGTTTAACTTTTGTTTGAATATAATCGAATCAACGGTATGACATTTTGTTCATATGATCGAGACAATAATATATCTTTCTATTAATATGATCTTCTTATATGTACCGTGTCTCTTCAGGAAGTTGGCGATCATGGCTCTCCATATTTTCCTGTCCTTTGTAACTCTTAATAAATATTATCGTTTTGTTATCTTTCCTAAACATTGTTTTTCTATCCATTCACTCATGCTTGTTAGATAGGTCGTGTTGTTTAGTCTGCTCCTCTTGTCTGTCCTGTGAGTATAAAATTTTCCAAGCCCCCTTTCCTTATTATGTACCCTAGAAACTTACAGTGTCTCTTCCTGATGTTAAATATAGGTATTCTTTTTATTCCCATTTTCTCTAAATCTTTGTCGTTGCTCAAATGTTCAGTCCATGTTATTCCCAGCATCCTTCTGTAGAACCGTACTTTTGTTGTTTCAAGTCCCTTTGAGAAGATTGTTCAGCCTCCACTGCCATGTATGAGGACTGATACTTCGTAACAATTTATTACTTTTTTCTTTGTTTCTAACAAAATTTTCCGGTTTCTTAATACTTTGCTTAGCTTTTCGCAGTCTTCTTGATTATCACAACACGTCTTCTGATTCCAAAGTCACACTTTCCGCCCCCTCTTAAAATACCATGTCTCTTTTAACCCAGAACACAGCTTTGTCTGCTGTGCTATTTAAACCAGAAAACCCGGTCTTCACTGCTATTAAGCCTAAAACTTACTCTAATCTCCCCTGCTATTGCACCTAGAACCAGGGAGTGGGAGAGAAGAGATGGATTCACACCTTTCCCAAGGGCATTAGTGCAGAAGTGAATAAGAAAGAGACTAGTTTGGATTTTGAACTCTGATCACCGATACCGGTTTCTCTACCATTACATAACCAACACGTCTACTTTCTGCCACCTTAAGAGTTCATGGCCCTCTCAAGGAGAAGATGGTGCTCCTACTGTATTAAGGTAATTAAAACAATGACAGAAGGACAAATAACGGTAGTTGATAAGCTTGGCGAACTGCTATGTCTAGTTTGACTAGATGCGCATGTGTTAAAAACCCATCACCAACTACTCTTTCTTGTATTTAGGGCGTGCGTAACACCACATCCCCGCAAAAGAAAAAAAAATGAAGCATTTGTAGACCGAATTTCGAGTGACTATCCCCTTTTCGACCAGCATCGCGAAAGATAAAGGGCTTATCAACTACCGTTATCTCTGCTCTTCTAGAACACATGGCTTAGATACTAGACTCAATCATTCCTTTATTCAATAACGTACTAACTTCAAACCTTTATTCTTAACATAACTTTTGTAGCATACATTTTTTTTTAATCGATTCTCCCCAAGCAAGCCGGGAAGCCACTAGTACGCAATGGGTTACAGAAGATTTGGAGCAAAATCAGGTAGGGGTGATAGAGGAAAGGATGCGGAGAAGGATAGTGGATAGATCAAGGCAACTGAACCCTTTATTTCGCTCACTGGGGTAGACTGTTCTAGTTCCACGTGCCATGTTTGATGGATGTCAGTTATCAGTTATCTCCTGTTAATTTCCCTCTGAAAGTTCTCCACTGCCTTAACCGGGTATTGAACTCAAACTCTTTGGGTCCTGTCACTGGATCAAACCAACGCCTTTATCCACTGTGCCATATGGCGACAAAGATGAGGACAATAGTCCGAATAATGTAAATAATGTACATAATACCTCATCTCAAATATAGACAGACTCTGATATATATATATATATATATATATATATATATATATATATATATATATATATATATATATATATATATATATATATATATATATATATATATATATATATTATTTTAAGTTAGTCTATCTTTTTTTTTAAGCATTACCCGAGCAAGGCGTGAAGCCACTAGGATGCAGGGTGTTGCAGAAGATTTGGAGCAAAATCAGATGGGGAGTGATAGAGGAAAGGATGAGGAGAAGGATGGGGGATAGATCAAGGCAACTGGAGATGTCGATTGACATTACATTTGAATAGCTGGAGATTATAGCTGTCAGGAAAACAGGAAAAGCAAAGGGAGTTCCACAGGCGGGAGGTGCGAGACATGAAGCTATTGGAGTAGAAGAGACGGCTAAATTTAACAGTTTAAACAGTGAAAGGGTGAGAGCGGGATGCCAGCCTCGTAGGGCGCTTGAATTCATGAAGTCTGGGAACCAGCGCAAGCAGCTCATCGGGGCAATTACCATGAAAGTATTTGTAAAAAAGACAGAGAGAAGCGACGGCGTGTCTGTGAGAAAGCGACTGCAGACGTGATGCCAGATCAGGGCCAATTACATTGCATATCCGTCTCTGGATCTTATCAAGAACCCCGAGGAGAACAGAAGGGGCTCCAGACCATATATGGCAGCAATATTCCATGCAAGGGTGAATGGTTGATTTGTAGATTTGAGGGATCGATTCCGGAGAGAAAAATTTCCTGGCGCGGCACAGGGAGCCAACTTTCCTTGCGGTGGACGAAGCTATTGACTCAATACGGACAATAATTGGTATGTCCTCATTCACATAAATAGAGTAGTAAGTACTGTATGTTGGTCTGCAGTTGGAGATTCGTCTCCAGTTGTGCTAGTCAAACTCTCTGCCTCTGAGCATAGACGAGACTATACCGAAGGGCAGAGTCTCGTCTCGGGAAATAGCTATCCGACCTCGTTTTATACTGGGTCTATGGGGAATTTTTAGCCGAGCCTACGAGCTCGGATACCCCACATTAAATTCGACCTTGTTCCACATCTGACCGCGTAGGGCGTATTTCGTTTTGTTTATTCCTTTATTTTTTTTAACCAATTCAGCACAAGTAAATTTTGTTTGTACGTACACAGTGCTCGTTCAACTTCAAAGGCTAATGAAACAACAGACCAATTACGGAAAGAAGATTTTTTTTATCAGTAATATATAAAACGTATGGAGTCAGGTAACATTACCTTCTTCGTTTGTGGAACTCCTTCCCAGCTCCATGCTTTCCAGCCAACTCTAATCTGCAAAACTTTAAATGCAATGCCAATCGCTATCTGCTTTCCTCCTGATTACTCTTCTTTTGTTCCTGCTCCTTAGCAATGTTCCTGTTTCTAACTCTTCCGCACCCAGTTAACCCCTCGCGCCTCTGTGGTTTTGTTGCCTTGCTGGGGGGGGGGGGTGAAAAAAGTAACAGGATTTATTCTATATGTAATGATATATAATTAGGATCGAAACTTTACGTTCAAGGCAAATTTAACTCAGCTCAAATTTCAGCCGAGAGCTATTAATATTTTGACCGACCATGATTTTATTAGCAAATTTTGAACTGCCATAATTTGTACTAGGAGGCACAGTGGAGGTATAGATAGCAGCTCGGATTGAAGAATCGGAGAGCCGAGTTCGAATTCCAGTCGAAATCATTACATTCACTTACGTGACCCTTGGGAAAGGTCAACAAGATTATTAAGCCTTCTCTTCTGCCTCCGGGTAAATAGCAGGACAGACCGGGTTCTATAGTCCTGGATGGCAACTGGTCTACCGCAGAAAGAAATGGCAACCTACTGCAGGAAAAAATTTGTCACGTCAGTCATGTATACATGATCGTCTAAGCGTGTATCACGCATGGCACATTACTGATTGAAAGGGCGGCACGGTGGGATAATAAATAGCGACTCGGATTGAGGAATCGGAGGAATCCATTTCGTTGGTCATGTATCGAAAAATACATGATCGCCTAAGCGTGTATCAAGCATGACGCATAAAGGAATAATATTTATATCAATCAGAAAAGTAGGTTACGAAAGATGCAGGAACACTTGCACATTGCAGTGTTATTGAAACTGGGGTAATTGTAAAGGAAAATAATTGATTTGATTTCTACGGTTTATCAACTTTTTACAGGTTATTTAAAGACAGATTTTTTTAAAACTATAAGAATGTTTTTTGGAGATTTTACTAATTAACTCAAAACTGGGAGGAGAAGATGTGAATTCATGCCTTTCGCAAGGATATTTGCACGTTAAGTGAATATAACGAACTTAACTGGAATTTGAACTCGGCTCTTCGATTAACAATAGCTAGTCATTACACCACCCGCACATCCAAGTTTGCAGCATCTAGTATTCCCAAGCGGTCACTCATCTAGGTACTGACCAAGCTCGACGTTACTTAACTTCGGTGATCGTGCTAGAACTGCTGTTTTTGTGAAGAAAAAGAAAAACAAGACAACAGAAAGATTAATAAATAAACAAATTTTATGACAAATATCAACTTTATTTTTTTTTACATACTTTTCTCGATTTTTTTAAAATTTTTATAACCAGAATTTTATTTTTTTTCGTCAATATTCAAATCTTAAATCAATCATGACAGCCACCAACCGAGCCAAGCTCAAGTTCATAAATATTTCATGTATATATTTTTTAAAAATAGTCTTTTTTAAAAAATGATGTTTTACTGATTTTACGAGCACAGAAATGCACAGAAGGAAAAAAAAGAGGTATTTCAGGGATATGAAAACTGAGCAATCAGAATTAAATTTTATCGAACAGAGCTTTGCAGCCATGCCTCTCTCGAGAACGACGGCGTACACAGAACAGGCAAGGTTTTTACTTGCAGCAAATGGAATTTATAATCTGTCAGCTACTGAAGTATGAACCAGGCTCAATGCCAATACATTTTGTTGATGATGGAGAGACAATCATGAGATAACATTTGGAGCTTATGGTTGATAAAGAGACAAATGGTTTGATAGTAAGTGTGTGAGTGTGTGTTTTGAAAACAAATCGTTGAACCCTTTGAATTTACGGTCGCAAAATTAATGATACCATTGTTAACAGTTGCGTTACAGGAATCCCGTAAACCAGTAAAATGGGGCAAGGAATGGCTTGTTAATTTTTACGCTTCCAAAGCAAAACTGCTCTCTTTTAATTGTCTGAGAGAGTCCTTTTTGCCTACCATCACCTCCAGGATAGTGACTCATTGTTCCTTCTCGGGCTAACGTTTTCCGCTGACATTAAGTGGAAAGATTATATTGAATCAATTGCACTGTCTACTGATAGGAAAGTTGGTTCCCTGTGTTGTGCTAGATAATTTTTCCCGACAAAATATATCTTAGATGTTTATAAATCTACCATTCATTCATGCACTGAATATTGCTGCCACATATGGTCTAGTGCTTTTGTTGATAAATTACAAAGAAGAATCTACAATGTTATTGGTCCTGATCTGGCATCTCAGCTTCAGTCTCATTTCCCACCGCCGTAATGTGGCTTTTCTATAAATATTTTTAGGGTAACTGTTCTGATGAAGTTTCCTCTATGTAATCATTGTAAATATTCATTGGGATTTCATTTTTTAAAGTTGTTAATTTTATTCCCTATTTCATCAACTATGGAACTAGTTGGAAATTAATAGAGACTTTGAGGTATTATGGTGGCTGTAGTAAGAATGGTGAATAAGAATTTGCTGCTTTGGCGTAAGGAATACTGTGGTATGTTTGGGTCAGTAATTGCGGCTAGCTAAGTTAAAGATAAGGCAGATTGAAGACCAGCCTTCCGCCATACCCTTTTTGGCCTTATGCAACATTTTTGTATTTTCAAAATAAATATTACTTTCCTCACTGATCGCTAGACATTATGAATTTAATCGCAGTACTAGATTGGCTGAAACCGGAATTGTATGCTAACAGTTCCCCACCCCCATACTTATCGTTTGAGGAACAGACTTCCGGCTTCTTGCTTTCCAGTCAACTTTGATCTTCAAAAATTTAAATGCAATATCAATAGTTGTCTGTTCCCGGAATTCCTGTTCATTTATGGCTTCTTTTGCTTAATAATGTTTTTTTTCTCATATTCACTCATACTCAGTAACCACTTGTATCTTAGTGGCTTTATTGCCTTTGTTATTCTTCAAAGTAATGTTTACGTAAATAGCTACAGAGCTTCGGTAAGTCTCCGAACCACAAATAAAACGTGTACAAAAAATTCTTTGTCAAGTAAAAAAAAATAAGTCGATATATATATATATATATATATATATATATATATATATATATATTGAGACATATTTCATTGAATAATTTAGACATGTTTTGACTACTTATTTTCAATTGGGTCCTTTCATATTCACGGACAAGCTTTTTGGTGTCATTATTAAAATATAATTACCGTCTTGATACATATTTTATTCTGAGTACTTTCGACATAGCTTGATGTTATCGTCAGGGTGTTGTTTAATTCAAGACAAATATTGTAGTGTTCATTATTGCAATTTTGTCTTTGAAAATTGTGAATACTGCAATATTTGTCATGATCCTAGTTACTAAATTTTTAATACTTGATATACCACAATGATAAAATCGGTCAATAATTATTTATAACTGTTTATACTTGGACCTATGCATGCAGTTACAAGTAATCCATAATAATATTTTAAATTTTGAAATATAGCATATAAATTTTTTAAAACTGTTTCTAAATCTTTGATTGTGTTTCAATCATTCCTCCCCACATTCTACCCTCTGTGAGGCGCACCTGTGAGGCGCACTGCACTGTTTGGGAAACACTGTTCTACGACGTGGTGCTGAAAAGATCCCAATTTGATCAACTTTTCAAAATCAGTATTCTGATGTTCGGCCATTGAAATATTGCTTTGGTGGAAGTGCGTCTTGTCAATAATTTCTTTTTTGTTCCATCTTTTTTTTTTTTTTTTTGATATTCCTTTTAAAGATTTCCAACTACCAAATTATTTTTCTCCCTCTTTTGTTTTTCATTTTTTTTAAATTATATTCCTCGGAATCAATTTCTCCTTACGAATTTATTCTCCCTTTCTTTTATTTCTCTTTTGTTTGCTCTCGTCTCTTTTTACTTTTCCCAGGCACATTTATTTTATCTTTTTGCTTTTTTCTTTCTCCCTTTCTAGTTTTTTTTTGCACTCTATGCGTTTAATTTTCTCACCGCTATTATTCTTTCCATTTTTTTCCTATTCTTTCGATTCTTTCTTTCTGTTATCTTTTTGTGGGGATTCATTTTTCTTCTTTCCCAAGCCTGCAGGGCAGCAGACGATAGATCAAGGCGGGGAAAATGCCAACAGGGAAATTAAATATAATGTTTGCCAAATCAAATCATAAAAGACATTAACTCAGTAATTTTATGATAATCTTTTCGTCTGCTTCAAAAGAATTTCGTAAGTTTCGACGTTCATGAATGAGGAAAAATTAAATTAAATAAAGATTCATTCTTTTATAAAAACTATTTTGACGGTGTGTCTGATACGATATGATGTGTGCGCAGGTGTGGTTCTATTACAGATATTTTTATTTTTATCTGCTAATTACTTTATCGTACCTGTTCTATGAATGATCATTATTTTATTGAAAAGAAGAAGGACACACACATACACACACACACACACACACACACACACACACACACACACACATATATATATATATATATATATTTATTTAGTTTATGCAAACTTAGGTAATCCGTATGGGTAGACCTGAGGAGGATGATATCAGAGAGCTCAATGTAAAATTCAGAGCAGATATGTTTGAATATATATAAATATATATATATATATATATATATATATATATATATATATATATATATATATATATATATATATATATATATACACTCATATCTCTATATATGGAAAAAATGATATATAATTTTTATATATTAAGAAAAAATTTGTGGAAATATGTGATAAAATAAATTTAGGTCCAGGTATTTGCCTTTCTCCTTTCTTGGCAGATCTCTTATCACAATGTTGGATATTTAATGACAAAAGTGATAAAACAAAAAGAAAGTAAAGGAAATATAAACAAAAAGAAATTAAAGGAAATCGGCTTGATTATATAACCAAGACATATATTTAAAAATATTAAATTAGAATTAAAAATTAACAACGTCACCACACGCATGCGTAGTCACATCTACTTAAACATCACTTTTTAGTCAGATGAAGTCATAAAGGACGAAACTAGTCGCACGAATACTATTTTTCGCTTTGACATAAATTTCCCTAAATTATATATATATACATATATATATTAGAATAGATTTTCTCATCAATGATACAGATCTTTATCATTTTAAACGTTATTTTTAGTGGATACTGCTATTTGAGTAAACGCTCCGTTTATTTATTAAACGGTGTATTTATTTTCGTCTACTGACCTGAATGCTCAAGAAATTTTATTTAAAAAATCTTATACTCTCTCGCAGATCAGATTTCTCAAACATTCAGGCCGGTAGACGAAAGTAAATCATTTTTATAATAGCAGTATTGTTTTTATTTTATTAGATGAACTATTATTATTAATTTATGGCAAGTATTTATGTTCTTCTTTATTTTTTATTAGATGAAGAATTGACAGCCATTATTATTAATCTTTTGTTCATAGTTAATTTCACCTTATTTTTTTTATAAGATGAAGCATTATTATTAATTTTGACGAGTATTTTCATCTTCAGTTCTTTATAAGATAAAGCATTGTCAGCCATTATTATTTATTTTGATTAGAATTTACATTTATCCTTATTTTCTATTAGATAAAATATTGGCAACCATTATTATTCATTTTGGTTCGTATTTACTTTCATCACCCCAATTGTGAACTGAATAAGATTAAATATTGTCAACCATCAAGATTCTTTTTGCATTAGCATTTACTTTTTTATAGTTTGCTTTATCGCAACTTTAATCTTCTCCTCAGTCTATGGCAGTAAATAAACTGCGCGGAAATAAAGGTCTTTCGGTGAGATTCAAACTCATATGTATTTTGTTTCAGGAAAATCTAAATTGAACCTGTCAGAGTTCATATAAATGGATAGTGGGACGGGGCATGGGAGGCATGGCAAAAAAAAGAAACGTTACTAAGAGTTACAAGGGATAGGAAGCTGTGGATACTCATGATCGCCAACGGTACATTGAATAAGAGTCTGCTGCCACAACCGACTGTATTTCTGATTTGTACAGTTTACACAATTGACATCTCGAATAAAACTGTGATAAAAGCAGCTATGACAAGTTAAGATGAAAGCAAATACGAATCAAATTTATAACAATGTAAAAATATTTACGTATCAAATGCATAATAAAACGTAACAACCAGGGATCGATCGATCGATCGATCGATCGATCTTTCTTTCTTTCTTTCTTTCTTTCTTTCTTTCTTTCTTTCTTT